TTTGTCACAGCCCCTCGTTTGTTGTCCTCTTCTCCCTCTCTGCCTACGGTTTACCGGGCAGTTCTATTTGACGATATATATATATATATATATGAAACTCTGACGAAACAGTTTGTCACCGCCCCTCTTTTGTTATCGTCCTCTTCTCGCTCTCTGCCTACGGTTTACCAGGCAGCTCTGTTTGACTATATATAGTATATACATATTTCTCTGCATCATTGACCATCCGAATGATGCAATAGATTTATTTATTTATGTATTTATTTATTCTTAATGTGGAAATCGAGTTCACATGCAATAGAAATTTAATGAGATATATAATGGGCGCCCTCAGGGGAACTAGAATCCCCGTCGCCTCTGTGAAAGGGAGGTGTCCTAAGCCAGCTAGACACGACATTGGTCTTATGAAATCCCGAAGTTGTTCGACTTTGCAATTTGTTTTTTTTTCCCATATAGGAAAACAAAATGTGAGGAATGAGCCCTCACGGGGCCCTTATCAAACATACAAGTGTTATGGGCCACGGCCCCTAGCAAGCCTGTGCCCGCCTTCACGCCCTTGTAATCAGGAGAGCCTGTTTTCGACGTTCTTCCGCATGTGGGGATTCAGACAGTTGCAGCACGCCAGTTGGTTACAGAGCAACGTGAGCCTCCAGTCGCAGCACGCCAGTTGGTTACAGAGCAACGTGAGCCTCCAGTCGCAGCTAGACGCTATATTGACCTTTCGAGATCCCAAAGTCATTTAACTCTGCAATTTGTTTTTTTTTTTTTTCCCGTATAGGAAAACAAAACTTTGGACCATTTCTCAGTGTATGTGTGTCATCCCTGCACAGGGGCCATGCTTTTTTTTTTTTTTTTTTTTTTTTTTTAGGAAAGGCCGCTCCATCTATTGGTGGCGAGCTGAACGTGTTGAAAAACGGGTCCAGCGTCCCTTTCAAAGTTCCCATAAGTTCCATCAAGAATCATAAATTGAGAGTAGAACTTGCCTCTTCAGCCATTCTAGGCCGCCAGATATATGGAGTCAACCTAGCAATTCTACCCACTTAATCAAGATAATGAAGATAAACTATAATGCTGGAATTTTTCGAGCAAAATTTTATCATACCTTCCCCTATATCCAAAATAACGAAAAAGAATAGATCATTAAAAACTCAACCCCCCAAACTAGTTAAAGTGAGCCCAGTTTCATGATATATCTGACCCAAACCATCTGAGATCCACCATCACATTGTCCGGAAGAGGAAAGAGGTCACAGAACGAATCAGGCGATCTAAAAAAGGCTCCTGGTTGAAGATCGAACCAGTTGTGAAAAAAGATATCATAGTCTCTCTTGAAATCTCCATCTCCTTCCCCCCCTGGCCACTTCACTTCTCCCAGCTTCCCTTCTGAACGTTCCCCCAGCCAATTTGTTTGAAATTTTTGGAGTACCTTCTTAATATTCT